TAAGTATGTGTTCTTTTTTGTTTCCATTTTCACAAAAATTCGTCATTGCTCAAATATTCCATCCATGGTATTCTCATCATTCTACTGTATAACTAGATTTTTGTTGTTTCAAGTCTCTTCTTAATCTGCAAGTATTATTGTATGTTCGTATATATATATATATATATATATATATATATATATATATATATATATATTATTTAAAAATATGATTCCAAATCGCGACATAAGAAGTCTCATGTTTCAAAACAAGAGCCGAAAACTTCAATATAATTATTTGAATTAAATTGAGTTAAAATAAGCTCTGTTCCATCTTCAAGCGAAATTTTTTTGGGAAAAAAATAAATAAAAAAATGAACTAAAAAAATAAATTAATCTCCATAGACATGTAAACTAGACGAGGGTTAATACATCTTCCGTTTCAAATTTAGACACCCCCACCTTACCCTGACTTGACATCTATGAAAGTAACTCTATACTGATACTTATTATTAACACCCAACACGCGCCTACCCAATTTAAACAATTCGCCCTAGCTGTTACCATGGAAATTTTGATTTCAATTTTTTAAACACGTAAATTTCAGAAATACGTTATTCCAAAAAAAAAAAAAAATTTATGCTCTACTTTTGTATCGAGCAATATTTTAAAAAATAATAACTAAAATACTAAGGATTTTGGATTATTTACCGAACCAGTTCCTTCCTATTTTCTATATTTTTCACATATATATATATATATATATATATATATATATATATATATATATATATATATGTGTGTATATATATATATATATATATATATATATATATATATATATATATATATATATATATATATATATATATTTTAAAATAGCCTATTATTATATTTTTTTCTCTCTTTCTTACCCCTGTTGACAGAGTTTAGAAATACGTCTATCGCAATTTAAAACTGCAGATGGGTAAAGCTTTCGTAAATAATACTTGCAAACTTACATGCAAACACGTCCAATGTGTACCGTTTTAAATAGATTGTAAACTAAACCCATGTCCTCCTTTTATTACTCACGTAATTCCTTGTGACTTTTAAGATTTATATGTGACATGAAATGACACGGCAAGATTCGGTGTGCATGTCCTTGAACTGATAATGCTAATGATAATATTAGCCGCTTTCTTATAACGAAACATTCAGAATTCATTGACCGAGCAGCCAGTGCTGCTGTCGGATGAAATCTATAAAATCTTTCTATTAAAACAATTTTTCATGAAAATAGGTTTCGCAATTCCACTGTAATCGTCTTTTTCTGTACTGATAGGGCTTTCCTTCCTAACCTTTTGTTTGATGTTGTGCAGATGATCAACATCTTGGTTATGTCATTACTTACTGCTCAGCATAGTTGCAGTATAAATCACAGGTGGGCTCTGTGGGTGTTGAATAAACATAAATGTGCCTGAGCGAGCGTCTGCAATAGCCGCCCTAGTAGACGAGTATCCTCGAATACGCGTAGACATATACATACATATACTTTTTTTATTAACTGTTGGTTCAGTAGTGAATTTCTTCCTCTATGATTTATCTTTCAAATATTTTTAGCAACAACAATAATAAATAAAAATGTTCCCATGTATTTAATAATAATTTTATACTTTTACTATTTTCTTACTTATTGATTCGTTTCTACTAGTGTCATTAAAGTAATTATAAGTCAAAGTGGAGCCCTCCACTTGGTTAGGTTAGACAAAGCTTTGGTGTACCTAGTTAATGTGAGTAAATGTTGTTCCTGGCATGTTCCCGGCTGCATCTTTGGTTATGATCCAAGTTGAGATTACCAACCTCCCCAGTTTGTTTTGGCCCCCTTTTCATCTCGACTGGGTCAGCTTTTATATTTCTTATGCCCGTATATATTTTCTCCTTTTCCCTTAGTGAGAGAGCTTCTTGATTTTGTTCAATGGGCAGAATACAGCGGCCTCTCCTTTTCGAGGGTTGGACGGGCCCTACTGTTTTGTTTAGTTTACTTTGTTTCGATATTTAGTTTGTTTTGGGGTTCATTCCCTCCCCTCTCATTATCCATCATTAGATTTTTATATGTAATAATTTATTATCATTAAATTTTTATTTCACGGGGTGCGTTTTGTAGTTCCCCCTGAGAGGATACGGTATTATGGTGTATGGAGGATTGATTGGTGACGGGCGAGTTTTTGTGGTGAATGGGCAAATTGTAATGAGTGATTGGGTCGTGAATCGGATTAGCTAGGTATAAGATAGTTACTGCCGACCAACCTCAACCCCTCCCCTTTTTGGCCTTGTGCCGTAATTGTATTTTATATACAATAAATAACAATTATAAGTCAAAGTGGTACATTTGATAACAGGCACCACAAGACCTATAACATGCATTGTACTATGTATATTTACGCAAAAGTTATTTGAATCCCGACGTTCGCACGATTGATGGAACCAGTTGCAAGTCACTGACGGTGATGTTATTTAAACGGTCAAAAGTTGTTTTTTTTTCTTTTTGCTCTCCTCTGCCAGTTGCAATCATGGAGAAAGAATTACCTCGCATAATCGCCAGTGAGACACGCTGCAAGGGCCACTCTGTTTCACGAGGCTCGTCTCTTAATCGAGACGCCATCGCGCCAATCCTTCGAAGGAAGCTATCGAACGAGGGCCAATAATCCCAGAAGTCTCCACTGCCATTGGAGTAAAAATTAAATTTGTCCGCAAGAGAAGAATATTTAAATATTTTTTTTTTTAGCTCCGCGTACCATGCGATACACCCCAGCTCAACCGCGGACCTGGTCAAATTACCTCTCGAAAATGTATCGGCATAGGTCACATCCCAAATCAACGTCTTCCCCACTTTAAAAGGAAAAAGGATAATCCCATCCGGCCGCTTTCCGTCACCGCGATCGAGGCCTGCGGATTCGATTTGGGAAGAGAACCCAGCTGCTGTCGTTTATTGTTGCATGCCTTGGAAAGCGGCCGGCACTACGACGACAGGAGAGAGGATGCAAACCAAATTCATCAATGGACGCTCCACATCTACATCTGTGACGCTCACATAATTTGAGCTCAAGACGAATCGCGGCTCCGACCCGAGTGCACTCATCATCTAGAAGGGTACCGGTAGATGAAGACGGCACTGCGTTGAGCCAGGCGCTACTACTCGATTGTGAAGCAGATAACTAGACAGGCGATGCGATGCTGATCCAGAGAGCCTCAAATTAGTAAAATCGACCTTTTATCCCAGCTTTTCTGTCTTGTGGGATAGAAGGAATTCTTGGGCCCAGACGCCGCTTGCTTGTTCGAAAGAATTTATTTTCTCCTTCCCTCAATTTTAATACGTGAACATCTTGATTTTGCCTATCGGTAGAATACAGCAGCCACTCTTATTTTTCTGTGGAATGGATGGATCCTACTAACATATTTTTGTTTTAGTTTGAATGTTATTTTTTTTTTACATACTTAATGTGTGTAATTGTTGTTCCCGGCTGACTGCCCGCATTTGTTATGATCCATGTTGAGATACCCAACCTCCCCAGTTTGTGTCCCCCCATTTTTCATCTCGACAGGGTCAGACTTTGATTTTTTCCCATTACAGCATTCTTATTTATTTATTTTTATTCTTCCCATTCAATTAGTGAGTGTGCTTCTTGATTCTGTCTATCGACAGAATACAGCGGCTACTCTTATTATTTTGAGGGTTGGACGGTTCCTACTAACACTGTTTTCTTTTAGTTTTATCTTTGCTTTACACTGAGTTTCTTTTCTGGGTTCATCTCCCCTCTCCATGATTTCACGTTTCGTCAAATTTTTATTTATTTATGAATATTATAATTTTTTACATCATAGGGTATTTTGTAGGTCCCTTGTGATTATGTGGTATTGTGGTACATGTATGATTGGGAGGCGATGGACAAGTTCTTGTGTTGATTGAGTATATTGTATTGAATGAATGGGTCGAGATTGTGGTTAACTAGGAATAGGATAGTTAAAGACCAGCATCTCCCCTACTTCCCCTTCGACATAGTACCACAATTTGGTATTTGATACAAAATAAATATATTCTCTTTTGTTATGATTCATGTCAAGATTCCAAACTCCCCAATTTCTTTGTTTGTTTTTTTTGTTTTTGCTTTGTTTTTTGTTTTGTTTTGTTTTGTTTTTTTGTTTTGTTTTTGTTTTTTTTGTTTTTTGCTCTTTTTATCTGGGTCAGCTTTTTATTCTTCCACTTCACAATTTATCCTATCTACGATTTATTACTGATTAAATACACACAAGTCCGAAAAAAGTGGGGAGATGGCTCAAGGCTGATCGACACTGTCTTATACCTAACTTTTCAGATTCACGTCCCATTCATTCGTTACAATTTACTCATACGCCATAATAATCTATCCATCACCGTCGCTCCTATATACACCAAAATACCTCACACACACACACACACACACACACACACACACACACACACACACACACACACACGCACGCACACAAGGCCCCTGTTGAAAAACATCCCATTTTTATGTATTTAATATCTGCAGAACGATAAGCAGTTGTCAATTTGCTTCCACTAGAGCAGTACAGCCATTTGTAGTCATAACTTGCTTTGACTCCTGATTAGTTCAAGTGGCCATATTTCATAACCAAATAAGGGCGAACCACTACTTCTCTGGCGCAATGAATCCGTCCAAAATAATTAGGTTTTTTTCCTAAATATATATATATAAATTTCACTAAATAAAACATTGCAATAAATATTATAATACACAACACCCTCTAGACATTACTTTGCTACTCAGTCCCGAAATCTGGATGGCAACTTTCGAATTCGACCCGACCGCTGAACCTCAGGCATCTCGGTAGCATTTGGAATTTCAGTGTACCCTGGAGAAGTCATTGCATTATTTGCTGGAGAATCAGTCGACACTCCAAACGCTTCAATGATTTTTGGAACTTCAGGCAGTTCATCTACCACGACTTTCACAGCGATCTTGTGGTGGGGAGGAATGCAGTCTCGCTTGTTGATCCACATGTCGCCTCACCAAGCCTCCACCCACTCTCATTTCATAATTTACAGACACCAGTTGTCGGGTAATGATGCCCTCCATTCGCCGCTCTCCAGCTCCGAAATTCCGCGCCGGGTACGCGATCATCCACCTTGAACTGACGCAGGGATCTCATCACCTTTGTTAACTGTGCCATATTGGCCTCATAACTCTGAATTCGATGATATGTATCGGACTCCAATAAATGAAAAGCAGTTCTTAACTGACGTTTAAACATCAACTCAAGAGGAGAAACTACCGTTGCTGTACGAGAAGTAGTTCTAAAAGAGAACAGGAAACGGCGTACTTGGGTCTTGAGGGTTGCATTCACTTCCGTTCTTCAAGTGCCTCTTTGAACGTGCGCACCGTGCGCTCAGCCTGACCACTGGAGGATGGATGGTAAGGAACAGTAAACATTTGTCGGATACCATTTGATTTCAAGAATCGCTTGAATCACGTAAAACACGGGCCATTATTACTCACTAACAATACCGGCAGGCCATATGTGACGAATACTTTTCTCAGCTTCTCTGTTCTGGCTTGGGCAGTAGATTTATTCATTATTCATATCTCTATCTATTTTGAATAAGCATCCACGACAAGCGTAAACATAAACGGCCCGAAAAATCTACATGAATCCTTTCCCAGGGCTGACTAGGATATTGCCAGCAATGAATGGGTGCTTATATACCACAACTTAAAATTTCATTAGGTATTTAAATATGGACTTAAAATTTCAATATGTACAATTGTATAAAAATTCTATCAACATTTTGAAACGATGTTTATGACCCCGAAAGCAAACTGATAAAAGAAAGATGTTAGTAAAACCCGTCCACCCCTCAAAAATAAGATTTGCCTCTGTATTTTGTCTTAATTTTTTCTATAGGACAGACAGGTTCTACTAACATATTTTATTTTTAGTTTGAATGTTTTTTTGTTGTATTTTAACTTTGTCATTGGGTTCATCCCCTTCCCACCCCACCTCATTTCATGTCGTATATATTGATAAGAAAAAAGTTACAAAAAAGATATCTATATATTGTAAACTTTTTATGACATAGGTGTTTTTCTAGGACCCCATTTGATTATGCAGTATTGTGGTGTATGTCGGGGATGAATGAGTTCTTGTGGTGATTGAGTAAATTGTAATGAATGAGTGGGTTGAGAATCATATTATCTAGGTTTAAGATAGTGACGACCAGCCCGACGTGATTTCCCTCTTCGGCCTCGTGCCGCCATTGTAATTCAATTTACAATAAATCTACATACAACAAAAGTGACATAACTCTGGTTTACATTAAATTCAGAAAAGGAAGACATTGTCAAAAGGTCTACATTTCATGTTTACACTGAAGTCAAAAAGGTTGACATTACGAGTTTACAAAAGAGTCGTAAACATAGACATATGCCCGGATTAAATTGGTTAAAAATTGAGACATTAATACTTTATACCAGAGCCAAACAGTGATATATTGGTCCGGTTTACATCAGAGTTTGTAAGTATCCACTCTGAATGTAACCTATTTTAGGGGAGGGTTACGCAGTGGGCGTGATTTAAATCCGTTCGCCAGGGTATCAATCTAAAGTATGTTATATTTTCTTATTTTGCGTTTTGTAATCAAGGGCCCTTTTTAAAATGTTCTATTAATTGCGTCATGGAAAATACGTCACTCACGGCAATTTCTTGTATTATTTTTTTTATTCTTACGTCATTAAAAGGTTGCGATTTCTGTCTTTTTACTCTTCTCTCCCATTTCTCACTCTCTCTCTATCTCTCTCTCTCTCTCTGCTCCTCATCCTCTCTCTCTTACTTCATTATATCTCTCATTTTTTCCTTTCTATTTATTCAAATCATTTTTCTCTATTGCTCATTCCTTCCTTCCTCTATTATTTTCTCATTCTCAATCCTTCCTCCATTCTTTTTCTTCTTTCTCCCCCCACTGAATATATAGCCTCTCTCTTCCTCTCTCTTTCTCTTTACTCCTCTCTGTCTATCTCTATCCCTCTCTTACGTACCCTTTCTTTTCCTTGGTTTTCCGTCTATATCTCTTTTTTATTTTCTTCTAACTTTATTGGCACGTTTTTTATCACCTCTCCCTCTCCGCCGCTCTTTCTTTCTTTCTTTGTGTTTTTTTTTTTTTTTTGTCTTGATTTTTTGGTTATCTTTTACTAGTTTTTCGCTCCTGTTCTACAATCCGCCATCACTAATCTTTTTTTTTTACATTTGGTTTCTCAAAAAAGAAAAGAATATAAAAAAAATTGTGAATGGTTCTCTTAGGAAATAATGAGCTTAAAAAAATCAAAGCGACAGACTAGACAACAGAAAGGTGATAAGATTTATAAATAAGAGTAATATTAAAATTAACTATGTCATTTCTTCCTTTTTATCTACATGTCTGGTATCTTTTTATTTAATCGGCTGATTGTGGCGGTCGATACTAGAAGTCATTTTGAAACTCCTTTCGCGATTTACTTTGTTAACCACCGGCGTCACTTGGAGACTGGCATACAAGTAACCAACAAGAAAAAAAAGAAAAGGTTTCCATATACAGTTGGAATGAGATTAGAAACAGCGTGGATAACGCACGCCGTTTCAGAAAAAAATACTCCATGGGAAGACATTTCGTTTCGAAACTCATTTTCTTCATCTGAGGGAACAGTTGTGCTGGGCGATGCCCTTGAAAAGAAAAATCACAAAGCCGAAAACCACACCACGCGAAAACGTGAACGTGAATGTAAAAAGCGAGGAAAGTTTACTCTCTAAAATTGTTTCGAGAGTGGCTGAGAGTTTGATCGTTTGCTTCGCGTGCATCGACCCCAGTTTAAGTAAGTAATCATAAATTTCAATTTATAATCATACAATTTAAATAACTAATCATACAATTTCAATTTATAATCATACAATTTAAATAACTAATCATACAATTTCAATTTATAACCATACAATTTAAATAAGTAATTATACAATTTCAATTCATAACCATACAATTTAAATAAGTAATCATACAATTTCAATTTATAACCATACAATTTAAATAAGTAATCATACAATTTCAGTAAATAATCATACAATTTCAGTAAATAATCATACAATTTCAGTAAATAATTATACAATTTAAATAAGTTATCATACAATTTAAATAAGTAACCATACATTTTCAGTAATTATACAATTACAGTAATTAATTATACAGTTAGAGTAAGTAATGACAAAATTTCAGTAAGTAATCATACAATTTTAATAAGTAATCATACAATTTCAGTAAGAATTATACAATTTAAATAAGTAATCATAAAATTTCCGAAAATAATTATACGATTTCAGTAATTAATCATACAATTTCTGTAAATAGTCATACAATTTCAGTAAGTAATCATACAATTTAAATCAGTAACTATACAATTTTTGTAAATAATTACAAAATTTCAGTAAGTAATAATAAAATTTCAGTAAGTAATCAAACAATTTCAATATATAATCATACAATTTTCGTAAATAACCATACATTTTGAATAAGTAATGATACAATTTCAGCAAGTAACCATACAATTTCAATAAGTAATGATACGATTTCATTAAGTAGTCATAAGATGCCTGTCGTCAAACAAACATAAAAAGTTTCTTCGGAATTTTATATGTATTATAATTATTTTATATTGATTTCAAATATTTTACGCACACTTTAAAGTGCTGTCTTTTATACAAAATCTCATTGGGACGGTGACTATTAATAGGTCAAATCATCAATTGTTTAATTTCCTTCCATTTCCAAAAGGCTTGCGACTAAATCAGGTTGAAACGCCGATTCTTGTACTATCACCGAAATAAACGCGTAACACACCGAGTCTGGTCAATACCTTAATGGGTGACCGTTTGGGAACATCTGATGCTGTGGGATTGGATGGGCAGATGATATATTATAATTAAAGAATATTTTAATGTATCCCTTGCGCAAATTAATTGAAACAAAACTAATAATTCCGTTATTATTTACTTTTTGTCTGTCTCTATTTCAGATAGAGGTATTATATACACTATTTACATTATTCGGACTATTGCCCTCATCTTTGTCGCCATATTTTTTACAACGTTTCGGCCGTTGTACGCTCCGGCCTTCTTCAGGTGGTTGGAATGTCGAACTGAACCCTTTATTTCGCTCACTAGGGTAGACTGTTCTAGTTACACGTGCCATGTTCGTAATTTTAAGGAATCAGCACATATGCTAGGCCAAAAAATCTCCTGATCCAACCAAGCATAGAAATGAATACAATATAGGAACCAGTAATAAGGAGTGCCAGAGAAAAGCGATAATAACAGCAAAAATTGCAATATGAGCACTGTTAAAAATGATTGCTGAAGACATTAGGTTTATAATAACCAGAAATACACACTGGAGTGTCCTCAAGGGACACATGACACAGTGGATAAAGGCATTGGTTAGATCCAGTGACAGGACCCAAAAAGTGTAAGTTCAATACCCGGTTAAGGCAGCGGAGAACTTGGAGAGGGGAATTAAAAGGAGATTACTTTTTGTCGTTTTTCTCCAATGAAACATAACCCAGTGCACATATTAATACTTCATACGTCTATTCCACGAAGTCGTTCCTTGCAGACTGACCATAGATTCTCGATTGTATTTATACCAGGAGAGTTTCCGGGCCAGTATATAGTACTTTGATTTGCTCACTGGTAAGGCTTGTCAATGTGTTCGCGCAGCGTTACAATTTTCGTACGACTTCCTTGAAGTAATGTCCATCGCAGACAATGACCGTAGGACAACTAATCGACAATCGAGACAATAGTAATTAGTAATCGATTTAGTGAAACAAGCTTGCTAAACATTGAACCACATTGAAGTCTCTTGATTATTTTCTAAGCTTAGCTTAGATGTAGCACCAGGACAAATTTGTGGCGCAGCCAACCAATGAGGATCGAACCCACTACTCAGTCGTAATTGATTTAGCAAGACGAGCTTGCGAACCATTATATCACGTCGTGCACCCTTGCGAGTAAACATTTTCCTAATGATCTGACTTCGAACATACTCCGTGTTTTAGTGAATATATATGCAGGTAATACAACAGTATATAGGTGCACTTTTCAAAATTCTGAATGTCTAGAAGCTAGCAGCTGATCTTTTCATTTAATTTGCAGAAGGGTGTAACAGCACCTGGGAAGCCATAGCATTCACTCACCATTTATGTTGAAGGGCTCCCCTTCTAAATCGATAACAAATCAATATTTTCCTTCACTCGGTCTTTCAATGGAGGAAGGACTGGCTTGTAAAATTCAATACATCCCAAACCAAACTAGTGTACATTCTTGTGTAAATAAATTGAAACAAAACAAATAATTCTGACTTTATACTACTTATATCCAGACTATTGCCCTCATTCTTCTTGTTGTTATCACAAAGTATCGGCCTTTGTGTCCTCCGACCTTCCTCAGGTGTATATTGATCTGGGTAAACTACAGGGAAATTTGAACTGAACCCTTTATTATTTACACTATTTATATTCAAACTTTTGTCCACATCTTTGTTTTCCACCATTGTGACCTCCACCCATCTTAAGGTCTTTATCGATCCTGGTAACATACAGGAAAGTTTGAAGTGAACCCTTTATTATTTACACTATTTATATTCCGACTTTTGACCTCATCTTTGTTATTGTTATCAAAACGCTTCGGCCATAGTGTCCTCCAGCCCTCTTCAGGTGTATATCAATCTGGGTAACCTCCTTAATATTCCTAGCTTAGAAATAATTTCAATATGGGATACAATAATGAAAAAAGAAAGACAAAGGATAGCAATTCTTAAGCAACAGCAGCAGAAATAATCAGGATTCAGAATAGATTTAAGATTCCATTTTCACTTCCACAAATTACAGGACAAAGGTCTCGTGGGTAAAAGTGTTGGTTCGTAAATCTGGGGACATAGTTATTGTGAGTTCAATCCCTGAGTCGGGTAGTGTGTAGTTTCACTCAGTGGAAACAGGCATGTACTCTCTCAGATACACGTAATTGTACAGATGGGGAATACCATCGTACGGTATTTCAGATTGATCCATAAATGATTTTTGTTTCTGTTTGTGAACTTTAGGCCTTGTGCCACATCTAAACTACTCTTAGAAAAAATTTTGGAGATTTAAATGTGGTGTAATGGTTAGCCAGCATGTTTTGATAGAACAATTATGACTGAGTAGTGAGTTCGTTCCTCACTGGGTACCTCTTACATTTCAACATTCTGCCATATCTGAAATACGCTTAAAAAAGCACCATCTGAAGCAAGAAAACTAAATGATTATGATATTCTAATTACGTGTTATGAATTTGTTTAAAATTGGCTATGATATCCATTTGTACTGTTAAAAAACTTAGGCCAGTGTTATTTTTATATAAGAGTTTCTTTTTTATGTTTATCATGGGCTCTAAATTCTGTAAGTAAAAAGAAAAAAGTAAAAGATCCTCCTTGAATCCCTGAAATTCTTCCCTGAGGTGGGGAGTTCGCACCCTGGTGGAGAACCCTTGCTTTGTCTGAAGGGATTTCTAATTGGGCCCCTTATGCGCTTCTTCTATCAAAAACTTCTGCTATATCACCCACATGTTTTATCAGGATAGAGAAATCATGGAGGGTTGATATCAAGAAAGATGGAATAAAAGAAAGATGGTAGATTACTGTTGAATCAGGAAGAGAGACAAAACTGTGGAACATTTGCGAAAATCAAAAAAAAAAAAAAGCAAATGTTCTTACCATGATTGTTCTTTTATTCTATTGTTAACTTCATATTTAATCTCATATATTTGTGTTTTAATGTACATTCCTTCTTACCTCAAAGGTGAAACTTTATTTGATCTTCATTTGCATAACTGTCCATTTTTCGCTTTTCAGACAAATGACTTACAATAAGCAATTTTCTTGTTTTTGTCTACGATCTGAAGCAAGAAAACTAGAGCTGATTGAGAAAAATAACAATGATATTCGAATTCATCGCCATAAAATTGTTTAAAATTAGCTATGATATTCTTTGCATCAATTCAAAAGTAGAGACGAAGAGCGAGTAGAAGGGACTAAACATAAACTACAAGAAGACAGAATGCATGATCATCAGTTAAAGGATGAGCCCGAAATGCGATTTGCGGGTC